CAAGTTGCGACAACGAGGTCAACCCACTTATATAAATCGAAAGTAGACTGCGACCATACCAGAGGCTACAACATCTTGGCCTTCATATCTTATATTATTTTTTAGTTTGCTCGAAAAAATCATCATATTTTAGCTTTATTTCAAGGTCGACCCATCTTTTTCTTCACATTTATTCGCCTCATATTTTAAAATTAATTATATTACAGGCTTATTTGGCGAGATTGTTCAGAGCCTTATTATGTTATATGTAGAGAACTTTCATATTATATGACCTCTTTACCTAAGGTGGGTACTATGAAATCAACTGGTCATCATTTCTAGCAGTATTCTCGTCATATTTAGGGGGATCCGGTTTTCATTACCAGCCGCAATTCAATTACTTTTCCATGCATTTCCTCTGAATTCATTCATCAATGAGGCTTTATAAGTTGTAACATTCTTAAACCATATTCACATTGAGCCCTCAATTGTATGCTATTCTTTAGGAATTTGATTCTAGCTTGTTGAATTGATACGAAGCTGGATTATGTATCTTACCTTCCTGGAATAATTATCTCCACTCGTGATGTGATTTTTTATTTATACCTGGAAAAACCACCCATTCGTTTCAGTCCTATCACTTATGCCCATGACAATAGAATCTGAGCACTTCCCAAGAGTGGAAAATCTGTTAGGGTGTGAGTGAGCATCAAGTAATTGTGCTCATAACTACTCTCCTATCCACGTCATAGATGACCTTCGTTAACCTTATGGCTAATTTACATATAGCTTATCTCTACTTTATACAAAACGGATCATGCTATACTTTGAAGTATACTATTGTTGGTAATTCAACATAGCTTCATGTCATCGTATCACCGCAACCATATTGTCCCGCTTTGTAGTGGTTGTATTGCGTTCAGTTACTTTGTCCTTTTTCGGTTTTTCAGTTTAGCTTTGAGAGATAGCCGTGATTATTTATAGTTTATACTTAAGCTTTCAAAGAGTCTAGTCCTAATAGGTTGTTTAAGTTGATTTAGGTATTCGCATGGGAATTTTCTCTCAATGCTGTAAGTCAGTCTCAACCCAAACAGGGTTCTAAATTGAGGCGTGATCAAAAGTCACATTTATTCGAGATATACACACTCACTTTCCCAACAAGTCATTTCGTCGATTCTAATGATAAATGCATGCTTGCTCAATCAGACCTTCCGCCACAACAGTGATTTGGCGCAGTCCCCGCTTGTATGAAATTTATACCCGCTCTGTGCCTTCTTGGCATCAGTTGCTGTGTAGCGAATTGGTAATGTTTCGCCCAAATTGTAATTAAGCTGCTGATGGGATCGAGATTGCAGTTCATCCTGAATGAGAAAATCGTATTGATAACATTTTTGAGAAGACCTGCATGAAGAAGAGATTCGTAGATTGATCTCATTCGGCCATTTTGCCTTAATACGACGTTCAGGTTGACGCATTCCACGAGACATCTGCCCTCGTTTGTGGGGAAAATTGACTATGCTTTCGTCCATCATATGATGAACAATATCAGAATTGGAACTCATTTTTGTCAAAAATCTAAAGTTAACAAACGCTAAGTCAAGAAGACCATCCGACTTTATCCTACCTTATATAAATACTTATGAGTAAAAACGAAAAGGAATAGGCATATATTATTATAGCATGTTTCGGCTATCTTTCATATTGTTCATAATACTTTAGCTATGGTGTGTGTGTGTGTATGTGTGCTTCCGTCTATATGCAATACAGGTCCAAAATCAAGTGATCAAAAAAGTTAGCGTCTGGTACTGCATACAATTACGAAATGCTGCCATTTTTTGGCTATTTTCAGTTACAAGTTCTTATGAATTTATAAATTTGTTTGACCAGCAGGTGATTTCAGGGGATGGTTTAGTAAGTTTTAATGTAATCTCCATGTTCTAGTCGTCTAGCACAAATTCTGGAGGATTATCCAGAGATCATAGAAGGAATAAGCTTAAGTATAGCCTCCATCATTAGATTTCTTAACTTATCTAAGAGTATCGGCTATTTATCTTTGATGGTAAGTTTTATAAATGGGAACAACTAAATGGCCAAACTTGAGCCAAAACTAACCGTTAAATCTTTGTTTAGATATATGGATGACTATTTTATCATCTGATCTCACGGTAAGGAAAGCTTAGATAGTTTCTTACTTTTCCTTGACCAACGTGAAAGGAACAATAGGTTCACAATGGAAATAGACGAGGATGGGTCCTCACCCTTCTTGAATGTTCTGATTATTTGAGGAAGCCACCGTATGCTGGCTTATTTCTTAATTTTATTTCCAACCATAGTTACAAAACTAAGGTTGCAATTTTGAAGTCAATGACTATTAGGAGTATGAGACAAGAGGATGGCAACCATTTGACTAAAGAACTAGAACGGCTGACAGATTTATTCCTGGAAAATAGTCATCCTTTGTGCCCAAATGAGATTAATATCTCTTTATTGAAGATTTAATTTTCACATGACGACTATTTACTTATAATTTTGCCGTTATGCCTTCCTTCAAAAAAGCTAATCAAACGAGTGAGAAACCCTAACACTTTCTTCGATTTTGCCATCTTTTAGTGAGTAATGCGACCGATTCACGAGATCCGGCTGCCACAGGATTGTGTGTGCTACTGTGATCGGCTTTATGTTGGCGAGACATGCAGGCCCATTTGCTAGAGACAAAAATGCTTTTTGCGTTTAGAGTATATTTAATAGGCAAGCTAGATTTGGATGGTCTTCTTCATTTGTTGTTTGTTGACTTTAAACCTTTATCATCATATCATATGATGGACCAAAGCTGCGGTACGACGGGATTGAGCCGTCATTTTCTAGTCAGATCAACTTACGAATCTCTTCTTCATGTACTTTCATTCAAGGTAAAGATCTCCTCAACAGAGATAGCTAAGAAAATTAATTTTCGAATTATACTTAAATTGGCCAATTGCATCCTAGTCGAGTCACATTTTTTATCTAGCCTGAATCTCGTTATTTCTTTTCCTTTAATCTACGTCTTATTTACAGACAATTGGCATAGTACGCTTCTTAACTTTTTAAGTGACCTAAGAGCTCTTCTTCATTTTACAAATAGCTCAACATCATTTTAGAGATAAAGATAAGTTGCGACAATAAATGTTACATATTCCCCACTGTTTAGTCAGGATCCTGATACTGTACATGGTTATTTGAGTTTATCTAGAATTCTCCCACTTTTTTCGCATACAGTTGAACATCAGTTGGCAGCGCTCCCTGTTGCCGCCTTCCGCCCCCAATCCTCTTCGGTCGGCGGGATGTTGGTCTAGCCGGAGATATCTGCATCACTGCCTTCAGCCGGTGCTTTGGTGCGATCTATCCTTTCTCGATCATCTGCTTGCCTCCCAATTGAATGTAGATCGGCGGTACCATCTTGGAAAACCCGTCGGCTCCTCCAGTGCTGAGACAATAGACACATCCAAATCCCACGCATTCCCATCCCCAATCTCCCATTTGCCTCATCACCAACCGGCACCAACAACCTCGCATGGCCTTTCACAGCATTCTCCATTCTCGGTTTTGTCTCATCAATTTCACGAATCAGTCGGCTTGTCTACAGGCCCACGGTCTCCACGAAACATCTCTCTGGGCTCTCGGACACAGACTGTCCCGCATCGTCATCAACTGAAGGACTCGGAGTTTGAGTCTCGTCGTCGCAGCCACGATCAGCACTTAGGACAGCGACATTCGGCGCATCAGCACCATTGTCGAAATGACCGACATTATCATCGGTATTCAAGACAGTTGAATGATGCGTCAGGATCACAGAAAAGAAAAATTTCTATCAAGCCTCAGATTGCAAGTGCAGGCGTCACTTTGGCCGGCTTTCAACAACTCGATGAGTTGATGATTCAAGCTGAAGAGACGCAGACCAGCCTTACCGAAGGAACCGCCAGCATGCTTGTCTGGGTGACGTTTGGAACTAAGTCTACGGCAAAAACGGGTGTATCTTCAAACCAGACAGCTGACGGACAAGGTAGGTTCGTCTTATGGCACCAAATGAACTATAAAACGGATTCTTTAAGCGTGTGGTTGTCGAAAAGTTCGACTATGATTTCGGTTTTCAGTTCCATTTAGTTTTCATAAAGCACTCTTTTATGGGCATTCACTTGAAATGAACT